CGGTCTACTGCGCAGCGCAATAACTTATTCCATTGTACATGATAATTGCGGCAGTGCAATACCAATTGTTCGATACCCTAATAAGTGCATGGCCCAGGGGCAGTGTTGGCGATGGTTCAAACTTACGCCTTGCCTTTGACGCATATCGTCGTAGAAGGTTCTCGAAGGTTCTATATGTAGCTATCAGGTATCCCTGTATCCGCCAGGACCGGGGCCCGTCTAGTGCGGCGCACGAGCCACGGCTTGAGCTTGACTCCGCTATTCCCGCCCGGCAAACACCCCGCCATTCGTCATTGTCTGTTGTCTGCCAACTTCTTCCCTGCCTGACAGTTGAATGCTCTTCAGTGTCGGCAGCTTGACAGCTCTGCAAACGAGTCAAACCTGCGTGAGAACGGCGTAAAAAGGGGTGATATAGACTTGAACTCCAGGTATAAGATTATTATCAGGTGCAAATGGAAAGTGATACAGGCCTAAACGGCAACTTGGACGCAAAATGCAGAAATGCCCCGCCAGCCTTCTGTGCACTTCCATCAATCAGCCCAGTGAGATCACCCGATTCGACGCCCCGCCAGGTTTTAGTCGCACGGGGACGGTGGCCATGGCTCCCTGGGCTTCTGAAGGAGACCGAACCTTCCACAACCACGCCCTGTTTCTTCCATTAAGAACGGCTGGGGGCCTCTTCAGCCAGTTGAGCTCCTCCCGCCCCAGTCTTCTTGACCTTACAGAGTAAGGACCTACGTAGTGACCTTGCCGTAGTATTTCTGAGCCTGCATACATACATATCACGCAGTTTCCCAGACCTGCTCTGCGCCAGCATCCAACCATTCTTTTCGATTCCTCCTCTTCACTACTTCTTTTCTCAAACGTTTGCTTTTCTTGCATACGTCAACTGCAGACAGCAACCCCACGAAGGGTTCACACAAAGCATAAAGTCAGACTTGCTACACAAGCAAGCAATCGTTCGATCAACCGATCGCTTCGAGACGATACTTTTTTTTTTTATCGCAGCTACATATATCCACAACCTACCTTCGAATTGACTGGTCGATCGCGAGACACACAGCCTCGTCTTCACTATGGTGAAAGAAACCAAGCTCTACGACCAACTGGGTGTCAAGCCCAACGCAACTCAAGATGAAATCAAGAAGGGCTATCGGTAAGTGACTTTTGCCCCTCATCTTCTCCCACTTTTTCCCCATCACCGCCCAACCTCAGCCCAACCTCACCAACAAGAGAAGCTAACCACCTCACGTGCAACAGCAAAGCCGCTCTGAAGTGGCACCCTGACAAGAACAAGGACAACCCGGAAGCCGCCGAGAAGTTCAAGGAGTGCTCCCAAGCATACGAGATTCTCTCCGACCCCGAGAAGCGCAAAACATACGACGACTACGGTCTCGAGTTCCTCCTCCGTGGCGGCGGCGCCCCGCCTCCAGATGCCGGTGGCGCGAACCCCTTCGCCGGCGCTGGTGGCATGCCCGGTGGATTCAACTTTGGAGGCATGCCCCAGGGCGGCGGCGGCGGCGCTCGCTCATTCCACTTCAGCACAGGCGACGGCGGCAGCAGTGGATTCCGCTTCAGCAATGCAGATGATATCTTTGCGGATTTCATGCGGTCTAACACTGGCGGCGCTGGCGGCGGTGCCGGAAACATGGATGACTTTGCCGACATTTTTACGGCATTTGGCGGCGGAGGCATGCCGAGGTCCTCTGGCGGAAGGTCCACGCGCATGAGGAGTACTGGCGGGGGCTTTGACGCACCCAGGCCGAGGGAAGCTACCCCCGAAGTTACGACTGTTGAGAGGCCTTTGCCGCTCACGCTTGAGGAGCTTTTCCGCGGCGTGACGAAGAAGATGAAGATCAAGCGCAAGACATTCGATGACCAGGGCAAGAGGACGACCACAGATCAGGTGCTTGAGGTGCCCATCAAGCCTGGTCTGAAGAAGGGCAGCAAGATCAAATTCAAGGGTGTCGGTGACCAAGAAGAGGGCGGTCAACAGGACTTGCACTTCATCTTGGAGGAGGTAAGTCGCATATTCCCACAACGAGATGAGAGGAAACCAGTGACTAACAAGCGAATAGAAAGCTCACCCGCTCTTCGTCCGCGAGGATAACGACCTGGTGCACACCGTTGAGCTGGATCTCAAGGAGGCGCTGACAGGCTGGAAGCGTACCGTCACGACCATCGACGGCAAGCAGCTCAACATCGACAAGAACGGCCCGACGCAGCCTGGCAGCTTCGACAAGTACCCAGGCCTTGGCATGCCCATCTCCAAGAAGCCCGGCGTGAGGGGCGACTTCATTATCAAGTATAATGTCAAGTTCCCCACGAGCCTTACGCCCCAGCAGAAGCAGAAGTTGAGAGAGATTTTGTAAGCGCATGTTATGGCATGGATAGAGATGTGAAGCGTGCGTGAATGAGCGGCTTGGCGCCGCGATGAGGGGATGATTAGGGGACGACGGGATGTTTATCATGACCTGGAGTTTTGGGCGTATTGAGCTTCGGCACGGTGGGCCTTTTGAGCATTTCGCGTAGGCTATTGCGGATTGGTCTCTTGTCAAACGAATGCCTACGGATGAGTACATAGATACTAGGTAATTCTGAGATTGAAAAGAAATTATATGCATTCATGTTAAAGTGCTTGTAACGAGTGATATGCACAACCACGACACTGTGTCATTGACAACATGTACAAAGTGAATGCTCTTCAGATGCTACGAAGCGGCATTGTACCTGACTCCGAAACTAAAAGTCGTAACTAAGCGAATGCATCATCATCCGACCTCTCTGAATCAGCAAACCTCCGGAGTGAAGTGTCCTGCTGCATGGAAAGCTACCCCAGTCTACGAAGTGCCATCAGAGAGCCGGTCCCGGGATGTCCCCTCCATCTCGGCCGACGGACTGTCATTGAGTCCAAGTGGGACCAAACCTTCCCTACATGTATCCGTAGCGCTATGTATGTAAAATATGGAGTGATGAAGCCTGCCCAATGTCTTGTAACGGATGGCTTGGTCGGGCGTAGTGTCCTGTATAAGTACGTTGATGGAGACAGACGATGCCCCCGCTGGAGAAGAGGGAAGACATGATTGGGACGCTGAAGAATGCTAGCCGGCAGCGAGTACAAACCCGCCGTCCAGGCACGTTTTTCTTCTTGGGCTTCTTCACCACCCGCTATGCACGCTGTGCTGGTTTACCCGGTTTCCCCGTCACTTTTTCGGCGTAACCTTGTGCTTACTGGCCTTTTTCTTGGGACGTGGGGAAGGGAGGGCTGCTCGGGGTGAAGGTTTGCGGGCGGGTGCGGGTTGCGGGTGCCGCGCCGCTGTCTGCACTACACTACCTATCAGGGGAGGGGTTATCGGGATTGGTTCCTGTGCCCCGAGGCTGATACCTCTGCCATGGTTGCATTTGCATGTCGATGCGGAAGAGGGATTTAATTCTTCTTTTGGTTATGAGTGACTTGCATGAGATACGGGATGTCGACGGCTCGAGGTCGTCCGTTGCCGTGCAGAGCCACATGGCATGAGCGAAGTGAGCCGACGAGAGGCCGGAGGTGGACGGCCCCACGGTTGGCTATGACGACACTTCACATGGGCCTGGAGCGTTTTGGCGGATGGAGGGGTAGTTTGGCGACGCTACTTTGCCCGTGGGGAGGGGTAATTGGGGTGGGGCGGTGCCTGCGGTTCTTTGACAAGCCCAGACTCGGGAAGGCCCTCCGCGAAGAGAAGAGAGGCGCGGTGGTGTTGCGGCTTGTGTGGTGCTGGAATTCGATTGGGAGAGCAGGCCCATGGAATTCCATCCGGGCTTGCTTGGGTTTCCCGGGAGAATTGTCCGCGTTGGCTTTTTTATTTATTATTCCCTCGTTCCCCGTCATCTTCCTAGTGTGCCTACCTTGGTTGTAGAACCCCATCTTTTATTCCCCGACTCAGCGTCGCCCCTTTGACATTGCTGCTTTCCATCGAGCATTGATCCTAGACCTTGCAAGGTAAGCTTTGGTAGAAACCGCAGCTCTCGAACCCCGCTCTCGTCGACTGACAATAGATCTAACCAGACAAGACCCGTAAATACCGCCCAACATGCCTCAGGTAAGCAGAATATCTCTTCCCTTTCCTCGGCGGGCAAAAGTGGGAATCTCATGCCCTGCAGATCACGACTCTCCTCTTCGACTGCGACAACACGCTCGTCCTCTCGGAGGAGCTCGCCTTCGAGGCGTGCGCGGACCTCATCAACGAGATCTGCAGCAGCCACAACATCGAGCAGCGCTTCACCGGGGAGTCACTCATTGTCGAGTTCGTCGGCCAGAACTTCCGCGGCATGATGCTCGGCCTGCAGAAGCGCTACGGCTTCGAGATGACCGACGACGAGCTCGAGACGTACGTCCGCCGCGAGGAGGACGCCGTCATCGCCAAGCTCAAGGCCTCGCTGAAGCCATGCCCCGGCGTCGACGAGCAGCTGGAGCAGCTGCAGAAGGCCGGCAAGTACAAGCTCAGCGTCGTCTCGTCGTCGGCGAAGCGCAGGGTTTGGGCGTCCGTGGTCAAGGTCGGGCAGGACAAGTACTTTTCCGAGGACGAGACCTTCAGCGCGGCGACGTCGCTGCCGAAGCCCACGAGCAAGCCCGACCCGGCCATCTACCTGTGGGCCATGGAGAAGCTGGGCAAGAAGCCCGAGGAGTGCGTCGCGATTGAGGACTCCAAGAGCGGCACGCTCAGCGGCACCCGCGCCGGCATTAAGGTGATTGGGTATGTCGGGCCGTACCCGGAGGACAGGAAGGCCGAGATGGAGAAGGTGCTGCGGGATGCTGGGGCGGTGGTCATCATGCAGGAGTGGAGCGAGTTCCCTGATGTCCTGGCCAAGATTGAGAGTGGGAGTGTTTGACTAGCCGGCGGTGAAAAGGCTTCCCTGTGAGGGGGCTGTTTCCTTTGTGGTTGCTCCGGCGGCATTCTGGCCGGAGGGTCTCGGTGAGGCGCCTACACCTACGTAGAGGTAGAATCTCGCTTTAGACGAATTCATCTCCTATCCATGAGGAAACTGTTCACGCTTTGCAGAGTGGCTCTGTTGGCATTGGCTTCGGGGTACGCGGTCATGATTGTCCCCAGCCTGACGCGGATCATGTCCTTGTTGAAGAACGTCGTCTTGGAGTCTGCCGCGCGGTAGTTGCCCTCCTGATCGAAACACCAGCAGTAGACCGCCAGCGCCGCACCAATGGCCAGGTCCTTGCCCGTCTCGCACGCGAACACGACGTTGCCGTTCCGGTTCTCGTCAAAGAAGCGCGAGACGAAGGCGCAGACGTCGGGAAGTGCCTGGCGCAGGTTCCGGCTGGCGACCTTGTGCTTCCCGAGGCCAACCTGCATGTGCCTCGGGGACTTCACCCACGTCTCGCGCTGTGTCACGTCTTGCGTGAGTGCGACCCTGCACACTGCCGCTGCGTCCCCGGGTGAATCAGATTCGTCATCCAGGGGGAGGGGGCACACGGAGATTTTAGGGGCCACCTGTTTCGGGGCTGTAGTCCTGGCGGTCTGCTTGCTTCCGGCGACGAGGTCCGTGACGAGGGCCGGCAGATCCGCCTCGGGCGCCGAGAGGAGCGTGTCCGCGTTGGACCAGAAGACGTCCGCGGTGAGACCGAGGGCCCAGTTCTCCGTGTCGTCGCCGGCACCCTGGATGTAGCCCGCCTCGGAGAGCTCCGTGCCGGCGACGCGGCGAGAGGAGGTGAGGCAGATGACGGGGTGGTGGTCGTCGAAGACGGTGGACGTCTCCGAGAGAGACGTTTCCTGGGTAATCCAGAAGGGGCGGAGGGGTTTGGAGACGTGGGCCCTGGCGGCGGACAGGTCGAGGTTGAGGGCTTTGAGGGAGGCGAGGAAGGAGGGGAGGAGGGCGGCGATTTGGGAGTGTTCTGAGGCCGAGACGACGTTGGGAGGGGTGTGGAGGAGGGATGATTTGGGGTGGTCCGGGAAGAGGGCCATGTTGAGGACGGTGCACCATACCGGGATGGTTTTGCTGAGGGCGTCGGGCATTCCTGGGGTTGTTAGTGAGAGAGTGAGCAGATGAGAATGAAATCTTACTTTTGCCGCGGCGGGTTGAGTCTACGATGATGCAGCTGGTGTTGTTAGTTTTTGGCGTCACATATCGTATAAGTGCAACGCAAAACCTCACCCGTCATGTTTCCCTAGAACTTCAAGCAAGTGCAGGTTCAACCTCCGCGTGCTAAACTTCCAGGCGTTGGTGTGGCCGTCGGTGCTCTTGAAGTAGGCGCTCGCCGCCTTCTCCTCGGGCCGGACGTACCAGCTCCCGCACCGTTCATTAGCGACGAGGGGGCGGTTGTAGCACGTTGCCACCTCCTTCACGAACTCCGCATCTTGCTTGCAAGAGCGCAGGCGGTTCGCGATGGATAGGTTGGACCGCTTCAGGTCCGTGAGGATGTGCGAAAAGTTGTGGTTGGCGGTTGTCGGGAAGATGATGTCCGACAGGGCCGGTGACGTAGTCTGGGCCATGGCTTTGTGCAGGTTGCAGGGGTTTGTGATGGCAGTAGGTGAGGGATGTTGTGCGTGGCGAGGGGACCTTTGGTGTTGAAGCTTCACGGAAATTTCATGTGTGGCAGTGTCGTGATTTAGATGCACTGTGTTAATGCGGGGGCTCTATGATAAATACAGTGCTCTCAGCACTGTCGACCAAAAGTTTCCAGTGATTTCCAACGCAAGTCCATAGTGAATTGGAAAAAGACTGGACATGGAATCTCGTCAATTCAATCAATTGACTGATGAGGCCTGATGATCAGGGGTGAGAAACATGTGCGACGTCGCCTTAGACATCCAAGAAGCCTCCTGGTCTGTGCAAAAATTGCGGCGTATTCAGCCGCAAGCTAGGGCATATTACTGGCATGCATCAGATGTCTGTCGTTCAAGAAGATTCCGAACGATTGCGCCGGAGCTGACAGTCATCGTAGACGGCCCGTAGACGGACATAATCGGGAATGCCGGGCAGTCGAAAAGCATATCATAAGGCTCAACCCGGCAGCACATATTGACAACGCGCAATCACGGTGGCTATGTCGCGGAAGCCAAGCAGCGGGACGACGTTCGCAGGCAGCCGGATTGTATGGAGATGTATTTTATCGCAGCAGCGGGAGGGACGTTGGGCGGCAAGACTTACGCCATTGTATCCACCACGACTCTATTTCTGCGCAGGGAACTCAGTGCGCACCCAATGACTGCTGTCGTTGGTGTCAACCGAGTGTCAATGTGCAAAAGGCTTGCCGCGATGGATGCACCCTGGGGTCCGTGAGTTTGTAAGCCTAGGTACGGATAAGCTGATGGAGAAGAATTGAAGTGAGATCGCATCTCGCACCCATCCGTTTCGGGGGCTGTCTTTCTTTCTTCTGGCCGTCTCTTCTCCCTCAGGTCCCTCGTACGAGACAACAGCGTTTGTGTCCAGGCAACGCGAGACTGGGTGTTTCCAGTTTGCGGGGGAGTGAGGTCGAGGTCGTATCTGCCAGCCGGGCGCCAGCGGACGACGCCCGGTCCATTTGCTGACGCTGTCGCTGTTGGTCGACCGACGACTGGTTGAGGTGAGGTGAGTGACTGGCTCTGCCGCGGCCGTCCAAGAAAAAACGGAGGTTCCATTGTAGCCCCGCCGCTGCAGGTTGTCATCATTGACGATCTTCCCCCTTGCCTCGCCTCCGCGCATCACCCCAGAAACCAGAAAGGAAAGCCTCGACAGTGCGGCAAGGCACAGCAAGAAAATCAGGTAATCAAGGCTTGGAAACGGCGGCGACGGTTGCTACGGGCGAGAAACGGCGGCCGCAATAGTGGTTGGCTTGTACCAAAGTACCTTCTCTCTTCTTTTTCGTTCAATCCTTTCAACCTAGAGCGTCTTACCGACGGTACCTGTTCCCGCCGCCGTAGGGCCAAAGGCAAAAAATAGGACGAAAGAGAGGTTGAACTGCCCCGTCCCTTGACTGAACTATCTGCTCGGGAGGCGTGGCTTGCAGGGGTCTGGTGCTCAGCTGCTCGCGGCTCGAGGGTTGGGATTCGCTGCCTATGCAGCAGTGGCGCAGTGAAACCCAGCGCTTCAGTGGCTTGGTTCAACCGAAGTCGCAGCCTGCCCGCGTTGCCGTCTGCGCTGCGCTGCGCTCTGCTGCGTGGACAGCGCCCCGATCCCGTGGCAGCCGTCCCATAATTCCGCGTGCTGGGCTGCATCTAGCGAAAGAGAGCCTCCCTGGAATCAACAAGAAAGACTCAACTCATGATGACGGGACGCTGCAACGTAAAGCACGCTGGACTCTCACTGGGCGGGAGGAGCTCCATGGGCCCACCCCACTGCCGGCGGCCACACTGCACCCAGTGCACTCCACTAACACTGCGAGAGGTAACGAGTCGTTGCCCACTGAGTCCACGTCTCGTCACTGCCGCAGTTCAACGCCCAGCCCAGCCGGGGCTGTTTCGTTTTAAACAAGAGAAAAAGGCAGACGCGTCCCCGACGGCCACAGTCCCAGAAGTTGCTGCTGCGCCTGATTGACTTTTCTCTCTTCCACCGTGTCCCCCTCCTTCTGAAATTTCTCTCCCGTTCAACATCACCATCGTCGCCGACAGCATCGTCACCCTCTTTGGTCCCAGATTCACTCATTTGAGAGCGGCCACTGCATCATTAAAACGGTCCTAATCTCTCACCTGATTGGCCACCCCACCTGGTCCTGCAAACTTGGGTCGTCTCGCCAAACCCGTTGCCGAGCCGGATTGAGTTTGATCTTTATTTAGTATTAAAAAAACAGCAGGGGAGCTGAAGCCCGATAGCTGCTCACAACCTCCCCCAACCCACCACCTCCAGGCTTCCCCTTTCGAACGAATCGATCACCAAACGCAGGTTGTTCAACACTGCGAGATCAACCGAACACCTTTGCCGAACCGACCGACCGAACGACGATAATGTTCGGAAACCTCGACTTCGACCCCGAGTACGTCCCCGGCGTCAAGCTGGGCCTGCACATCTTCCAGTTCATCCTGTCCTTCGTTATCTGGGGCTTGGAAATTGCTGTTTTCAGAGCCGACAATGCAAAGATCGTGGGCAACAATGGCTGGACTTTTGGAGTGGTCAGTAATCACCTTGATGATGCGACGGGCTACATCTCGAAGCGTGCATGCTGACAGTTTTGCGACACAGTGCTTCCTCTCTATTCCTGCGTGGATATACCTAATTATGGCGCCCCGTTGGCCGAGAACCCGAAAGCTTGCGAACCCCTACGCCATGGTCATCGTTGATGCCGTCTTCACCGTCATCTGGCTATCCGCTTTCGCCAGTCAGGCTGCCTACAACACCGCCAACCAGTGCGGTGATGCTTGCAACCTCAGCAAGGCCATTGTCGGTCTTGGCGTTTTCGTGACGTAAGTTTCTGCGACGAATGCTTTCCAGTCTTGTTGCTAACAGCAATTCCAGCCTTTTGTTCGGCGTCAGCACCTTCGTCAGTCTCTACACCCTCAAGCACTACCAGTTCCACGGTAGTCTTCCGGGCTATGACAAGCAGAAGATCGCCGGCGACAACATCGACCCCGATAAGGCTGCTTTCTCTATGGCCCCTCACGACGAGGAGGCTTACGCCCCTGTCAACATGGACGACCACGCCGACGACCATCCCACCACCGGCGCCGGTAGCAACTTTGGCAGCTACGGTGACCGCTACGGAAGCAACTCCGCCTACGGAGGTGTCAACTACGGCCCCGAGGACGACGACCCGAACCGCTACGGCTCTCTCCCCTCGCGCCAGAACGCCGCCATGTTTGACAGCGAGACCGAGTACCACTCCCAGCACCCGCACCCGCACCCTACCGCCTCGCCCGCGAATGACCCCTACTCGTCGTCTACTATCCAGCCCTACACTGCCGCGCCTGCCTACGATGACGACAGGCCCGCTCAGTTCCCTGCTGCTAACTATGACCGCACCTTGAGGTAAACGTCTTCCCAGTGGGGGGACGAGCTGAGTTGAGACACAGCGGCAGGGCCACGGCCTGCCAAATTGTTCGGGGACCGAGTCCCGTGTTCACATAGACAGCTTGGGTTTTTGTTTTGGCTTCGGCTTAGGGGGTGTTGTTGGCGTCCCATTGTAACGGTATTCACACAGAAGATACCAGGCATGAACTAGGTAGACATCAATTTGATGGCATGACGATATATTTAGAAATGGTCCTTTTCGTGTACCGAGTGAAAGTGATATTTGCAGGTTTTTGTTTTGGTGAAAACGCCGTAACTCCAGGGAATATCTTCCAGGCTTCCCCGCCATGCTACAACCCCTTGAGACGCATTTTTTTTCGATTAAGCCTTTCCGTGAAATCTCCTCAGCCTGCGAGCGATATCCGCCGACGTCTGCTGCATCGGGTTCAACTTCCGGTCCCTCGCCATGGCCTCCGCATTGTCGCCGTGCTTCGCAATCAACCTCTCCAGCCACTCCTTCTCCTGCTGGCTCATGTGCCTCGGCTTCTTCAGCTCTCCCCTCGACGCCTCCTTCTCCAGCAGACGGATGACCTCAGGGCGGCTCTCGTCGTCAATGCCGCCCCACTCTTCAGTTTCCTCCTCCTCCTCGTCGTCAGAGTCCGCCTCGATGTCGTTCAGCGGGTCGTTGAGCGGGTTCGCGCGGCTGGACTTGGAGTAGTGTATCCTGATGATCTTGCCGTTCTCGTCACGCTCGACGCGCGCCTCGTCGACGACGGCCTGCTCCATCGGGGCGATGTCGAAGGGGCTCGGCGCGGGCTTGGCGGACTTGATGCGCTCGACCTCGGAGAGCGTCTTCTCGACGCCGCCTGTCGGGTTGCGCAGGCGGGCTGTGAGGCCTAGGCGGCGGTAGTTTTGCGTGAGGGTCTCCTTCTTGTTCCTGGATGAAGCATGTTTCGTTAGCTGTGCATGCGCGGGCTAGGAGAAGAATTGGGGGGAACGAACCAGTTCTTTGCGATGATGTCGTTGCCGAGGGGGTTGAGGAGTTTCTTGGGCCTGTTGGGCTGCCTAGTCTTTTGGCCGGCGCGGCGCTTCTTCTTTTGGAGGTCTCGGCCCATTTTGCTGGAGGTTGTGCGACGGGGGCGGTGTGGTGATGGGTTTATGGGTTGGAGGCGATGGCGATTGGCATTGAGGTTTTGGCTTGGGAGTTGACCTTGAATTTTTTGAGGTTCTTATCTTATCGGGTGCGCACTAGTCCTGTTGCGGACTAGCCTGCTGCGGCACACCGAGGCTGACCGAGCCACGCTCGGTGAGCAGCTTACAGCTCCATCATCTTACAAAAAAGGCATGGCTAAACCACAAGGAATAACGATGTGAAGAGAATTGTATGAATTTTGAGGCACAGCAGAACTCTTTTTTTTTTATCTTACGTCACTTTCTATACACAGCTACTCTTCTACGGTGCCGATTTCAGAACCGCAACCCGTCGTCGCACAGCTTACACCACTCCATTACTATCCCCAAGGCTTTAACTTAGATTTTACCCTCTCTGGAGTTACGTTTCTGATATAGAAGCCTATGTGTTGAGTGCATATAGGTTGCGCTTTTACGTCAAATACGTAATTCCAGAGGGGGGTGTAATAAAAGTGTTTGAAATATCGACAGTCTATGAACAGCTTCAAATGGCAGCTTGGATGGATCTCCTGGTGTCCCACCACTTACCGACCATGTCCGCGTAAAAGTGCTGGTACGGCCCCGCGTCCTCCTCCATCTCGACCCTCCCCTCGTCATAGTGCCACGGCTTGTCCTTGCCGATGAAGTGCAGGATCTTGTGCTCGTCGCGGTACCGCAGCGCCGCGGGGATGTAGAAGCGGTACACCTTGTGCATCTCCATGTTATAAGTGAAGCTCAGGCGGTACCAGTTCCTCTCCGCGCTGCTCTCTTTAGTTTCCTTCCCCGCCCCACCCTTGGACTTCTTCAGCAGCAGCGTCGACGGGTGGTTCCGCGTGCCATCACCAAAAAAGACGTTGAGCAGGCCCTGGTCGCCGCCGTCGAAGGAGTCGACGTGCGTCGCGAAGGCCGTGAGCTCAGCGAAGGTGGCCATGTCCGGGCGGAGGAGCATGACGCCGCTGTTGAAGCAGTCGGGGAACCCGATTTCCGGGGCGGCAGCAAAGGGGATGTCGAGCGGCAGGGAGAAGAGGTGGTCGAGGTTGGACATGACGAGGGTGTCGGCGTCGAGGTAGAGGACGCGGGTGAACTGCGTCAGGGACCAGAGCTGGACCTTGGTCATGGTGGCGTGCAGGTCGGGCCGGCCGATGAGGGAGAGGTTGTCCTTTGTGAGGGCCGTGACGGTGGTGACGGGGATGACGAGGTCGAAGACGGACTGGAGCTGGGAGATTGCTTTGGTGGACATTGTGGAGGGGGTTACGAGGACGCAGAGGGGGAGGGGGGTTGATGTTTTCCGGAGGGACTGGGCGAGGACGGCGGCGGCTTGCGGTAGTTAGTGTAGGAACGATGGGAGAGAGTTGGGATGAGCGTACCGACGACGTAGCCATCGTTTGTTACCAGCTACGGTGCGTTAGTTACTGGATGTCTGTAAGAGAGGGTTATGATGCTTACCGTGCAGTACGCGGTGTCGTATGAGGGGATCTGAAGGCTTCCCATTATGCTGGACTGAGTGTTGGTATTATCTACGCTCTGATAACACTAAGACTAAAACAGTGGTCTAAAGATGCTGTTCTCTAACAACTTAGGGCTAGGCATTAGGAAGGAAGCAGCTGGGGGCAAGCTATATAGATAGCTTCTAGACACAAACAAGCTCAAAGCATGTCTCTCTATCTCACCACTCGACATCAGGGGTACCTCGAATACCCTCCCGGCTCTAAGCCCAGTTCAGGATCATCAATCTAGGTATGATGCTGCATCAACCCCGTCAGATGTTTGGAACGGTGGGGTGTAAGCCATGTGTGCTCGCTAGCTCCTCTGCAGGCCTGCCAGCAACACAACTTATGCAGCCTCCAGACCATCTACCACATGTATATGGTGTACTTCGAGCTATGTCCCTGGGGTTGGAAGACATGATTGCAAACGAGGCATTCCATGTCTCTGCCGTACGCCACTCAGCACGGGATGTCAAATACTCGCCCATGCCGCACGTCGGCCGCCAGCAAGAAACCAACCAGGGTTCTCTGCGCCGTAGCTCTCGCCCAAGCGTGAGGAGATAAGTTTGAAACCTTGCTTCGGTCGTCTTCAGAGATCTATGCGCGCCTTGCTGCCCAGGAGGCACGATGCTAGTTTTCAGATAGGGGGGGGGTTGTCAAAAGGACCCCGGGGTTGGACATTGACATTTGTCGGCGTCGTGATTGGACCAGGGCTCCGAATCATAAAATCAAACAATAAACGATGCCCATCGGGAAACGTCGTCGCCCCGTCCGGACTGTTCCTTGGAAGGGCCCTCCCTGTCTTCTTTTGGATGTAGACGCGCGGGGTCGAATGTAAAAAAACAGACTGCAGATGAAGCTTTACTTTGCTTGGGCCGGCCGTCGAAACTTTGGGGTTCGGCACGGATGGTTCGGTGTCGAAACGATGCTGGCGGGGGTCACGGTCAAATCTTCAGCGTGTAGAGATGGGATGATTGCGCAGCCTCCACCTCGAGGGAACAGTAAATCGGGACCCATACTTTGGGTGTCTGATGTCTAAGCTTCTTGTTGGATAGGGCATGGTGTCAGGCAGCCTTACGGCGCTTGTCGATGGACCAAGTGCATAGCGGATGACTGCTTCTCTGTATGTGAGGTTGACAGGTACAATACGATGGGCAAGCCACCGTCGTCACTGGCAAGAATCCTTCCACGAGCTGTGAACGGTACCTGTTGCAAGTCGCCCTGATCACAGGCTTGGTCGTCGATGGGGGAGAGTCCAGGGGCCAAGCCACACGAGTGAGATTTGCTCGCAGGCTGGGCAACTTTATTTCGTATCTGCTGGTCCGCTAGGCTCAATGAGGAGATAGGAAGTCAATTGAACGTTAAGACGGGCGGATTTTGGGGTAATGTAACCCCTCAATCAGGGAGACGGGTTGTTGACGGGAAGAGCTCGGTAGGGCGCGAGCAGGAAAACCACCTGTCCGGTTTCTGGGTTATTCGGCTTCCATTTTAGTGGTCGTTAATATCTTGGTCTGGATCCATGTTAGCTATCGTGTCTTGGTTAAGCTAGCCGGTTTGTATGGGGATGCTGTTATCTAACCGCCATATCTAAGCACCGGATGTTGGAAATGGGTTTTAGGGTGTGCTATCAAGGACCCGAGGTACCTCGGGCGGCAGACCTCCCCGAGACTGTTTGCGAGGTAGACTTTAGGTTGGCATGCAGCTTGCTCCGCGGGTGTCTATGCCGAGATTATGTGTGAGACTGGCGGCCGTTGACGATCACGTGAGGGCACTTACATGCTCCGAGTGCCAGGGTTGTATTGGTTCTTCACCGAGAATACCATTAAGATACTAGATAGCATTGTTGGCCTTCGAAACAAGTGTTAGTCCTTTTATTTTTGGATAAGTAGGCCCTGTGGACGCACCCTAACTGTCTTCCAATATTGCAGTCAGCTTCGGACAGCCAAGTCATAGTTGGGAGAAACATCATAGTCCCAGTTATGTAGAAGTCCTCGTGATCATCATTTAAATTTTTATTGAACCGCAAAGCAGATGGTATATAAATCCCTATGCACAAATGCACAAATCATCACTCGTCATAAAAGCCACTTACACCAGCTTCCACACACCGTCGTTGATCTCAATCTTGATATCACGGTTCTCGTCTATGCTCTTCCTGCCGGCGTGCAGAATGGCAGTGGTAGCAATGGTGTTCTTGAGAGTGGGCAGGCCCTTGGCGTCCAGGTCCTTGGGCTTCAGCTGGCCAGAGTTAACTTGCCTGCAGCCGTCGACGAACTTCTCGAGGGAGATGTATCCGTAGCCGGTCTGGCCGTTGAAGTTGCCGTCCTCGTCGGGAGCATAGCGCATGTAGAAGGGGTTGTACCACATCAGTTGGCCAGCGGAATCCTCAGCGACATCGTAACCTCTCTTGGCCTGGTCAACACGGATCTCGCCGTTTGCGGCGAGGTAGTGGAAGTACTGGTTCGAGTGAACACCGGCGCGCTGCGGTGCGGTCCAGCTGGCGGTGTAGACACCAGTAGCCTTCTTGCTGGGGTCGCCCTTCTTTTCCCAGTGAACGAGAACGGAGATGGTGTCCTCAGTGGCAGGGTCGCAGCCGAGATCGGTGGCAATGCCCTTAGAGCCAGAGGCAGAGACCTTGACGGGAATGAAGCCTTGCTGGGTGACCATAGACTCGCAAATGTCGACGTGGTGGCTGTTGAGGTAGTAGGAGATGTCGGAGTCAACTCCGGCCCAGGCCTTGAAAGTCTCGAGCTGAGACTTGGGCTGAGACATGTAAGAGTAGAAGTAGTTGAAGTCGCCGAGCTTCTGGGCCTTGAAGCGGGCGTCAGAGTAAGCGGGGTCGAAACGCTTGTGGTGCTCGATAAAGACGTAGACGCCCTTCTTCTCGGCGGCCTCAATGAGAGCCTGGTGGTGCTCGAGCTCCTTGACAGCGGGCTTGGTGAGCAGGACGTGGATGCCGCGCTCAATGGCGTAGAGGGCGATGGGGTAGTGAGTGGTATCGGGTGTGAAGATAGTGATGGCGTCACCGGGCTTCAGGGCGTCAATGGCGGTCTTGTAGGAGTCGGGGTCCTTCTTGTCGTTGGCAGGGAATGAGTCGAAGGAGGTATCGAGGCCGTTGTAGACCTGGGTGATGTTCTTGTTGAGATGCTCCCCTGTGTCTGGTTAATGACTGGCGGCCGTGGTCTCTGTGGATTTGACGTACTGATGGCAGGGAACTTGGTTCCGTTGACGCCGACCATGCCCAGCTGGTTGACCTTCCCTCGCCTCCTCAGGTCGAAGAGAGTGAGACCGACAACGCCAACTTTCTTGTCGGAGCCAGAGGCACCACCGCCGACAAAGCCGGTGGTGTACTCGCCGGTTCCAACCTGGGGAATGTCAGCTTTAGGTGATCTGGACAGTCAGAAGCATAGAACGTACCATCAAGACGTTGAGCGGCTCCATTATGATCGATTCTGAGG